ATATATATATATATAATTATATTAAAAGCCCTAGGGTGAAAAGAAGAGAAAAATAGTGGGTGAGGGAAAGGATCTAGTGCTGGCCTATGTCAAGCATTCTGGGGTGCCTACAACTCCAACCGCTCAATCAGACAATCTGGAAAGAAACTGACAGCACGGACGCCACTGACATCGATTAGCTTCCATTTCCTGGAAGGCGTACAACACCCAAACTCTTCATGACCTCTCATGCTTGTCTGCCAAGTCATGTGCTGTGCACCTCACGGTTTGCGCCATCTTGAAGGAGGCACGGAGAACAACACTAGTTTCGGTAGACGGTGTTTCGGCATGTATAGCACTTGACCGAGCCATCGTAGTAGGTGATGCTGGATGTTTTCTCGGAGTGAAGTACCTGCAGCACAGCCAAACACCCGTTTTCTAATGGTGGTATGATGGTGGTCAGTCTACTCAAAGAGGCTTGTGTCTCGCCTTCCTCTTCAAAGATAAGGACTATGTCGTCTGCGGTCCCCAGATCGACGAGGTTCTCGCCAGCAACATATTAAACATTGGGGTTGAAAGACTATCCAGCGATCGCTTCATTATTGCATCAACGACGAAGTTAAACAAGAATGCAGAGTCGACATAGTTGTTGAACACTACTTTTCGTAGCGAAGTTTTTGGAGAGTTCTTCATACACTCTTACACCCAGGGGCGTGTGAATATAGGAATCGGATTACCTTCACAAACTTCTGGGGTATACCCGGCTGAGCAAGTTTTGTTTAATGGCACTGATCGCTTGACAGAATCGAGCATCATCATGATCATCGAGAGCATGACGTCAATTTTCAACACCGATGCTTCGCTCCTGTACAACCATGATTTATTTGAAGGCCTCATTGTGAAGAACGGAGTAAAGGTAAACGGGGTAAGGTAAACTTAGTGCTGGTCTACTACAATCAGTCCAAGGTGCCTACACTTCTAAACACTCATTCAGGCAATCGGGATAGAAACTGAGAAAAGACCGCCACTGACATCGGTTGGCAGTCATCTTACAGCGTCTCCAACCAGGCGCAGTGAGGATCAGGCGGTCCCTATCCTGGATGGCGGGTAGCACCGACAGTTTCCAAACGTCTCCTGATTTCTTTCATACCCCTCTGCCAGAATCGAGCGCACCGTTGAAGTCAGAACACCAAGAATAGGTCGTCTGTATATGTGCTGTTACCCTAACACCTGACAGAGTGTGATGTGGTCGACGCAGCCTCTACCTGGTCGAAATCCCGCTTGATTCTCTCTGTTTATGGTTTCGCGCGTCACCGTAATATGACGAAGAATCATTGAGGCCAGATACCTTTTCACAACAGAGGCCAAAGTATCACCTCGGTCGTTGTTGCATTCACTAGCCTTGTCAAAGGTGGTCATTATTGTCGATTCATCCCAAAAGTCTTCAGCTGTCTCTTTCTCCCAAACAGGACCCACTTTCAGGTGTGAAACGCAGGCCGCAGCGTTATTTGGTTTATTTAAAATCATTTGCATTTGGGAAATATATGAATATATATGAATATATTTAGGACAAGGTGGATCAGTGGTAAGAGCGCGGTTTTACTGACCGG